TCCATTGAACTTGAGTTGAAAAAGAAACGCATTGTGATCAGACACGTATTCACCTTTCTCGCTCCAGTTTTGAGATGTGAAGCCCCCGTACACGGTATCATTGTTGTTATAAAGGACAGTCACTGTCATCCCTTTGTTGTCACACTTGGAGTGGAAAGTTGAAGCTGAACATCCGTCCCTGGTTATCTTATATAAGAGCCGGAATTTCCTACGATCTCCAATCCATTTCAGGAGTTGATCCATGTCTTGTTTTTGGAGAATACCGACCATTTTGAAAACCTAGAGTAAGACGACTTAAAGAAAATATTGTGAAAATAAAAATAGAAGATTATTTAAAACTACTTTGTTAAACTTTTTTTTCATCCGGCTATATGCACTTTAAAAAAACAGAACTGTAAGATATTTTGTACCTATAAACTATATCAAGGTGTGGATGATTATACTTATCTCGGTTTATTTATGTAAAGTATGGATATCATTGATAGTCATAACATGATGAAAAATGCACCATATATAATATTACCATACTTGTTAGGTATAAATCGGTTCCCCACCAAAATTTCCAGCAAAACAGAACGTAAGGTAAAATCAAACATTCATCGTCTAGAGAGGCTGCATTTATTCTTTCACTAGCCTATCAATTGATAAGATTTTAGTGTCAAATCAATTAAACTGGTAAAAACTTACAAGGGTTTTTCGAAAACTACATAATGTCTGTCCTCATATCTCTATTAAATGGCACAAAACAAAACAAGTCTAGATGTTTAAATTAAGAATGTTCATATCATAAATCACTCTGCTTCTACTCACAAGTTCTCTCTGAAGTTTATATTAAAAGGATGATAGAGTTCATCATTGACAACAATTATGTAGTCTTTAGAGACCAGATTTTTCAACAAACTGTTGGAATTCCGAAAGGCCTTTATTAGCCGACCTGTTTTTAAATTTCTATGAAGAAGAATTTATTCAAAAACTTCTACATGAGAAGAAAACACTTGCTGTGTCCTTCAACTACACAATCAGACACATCGACAACGTTTAATCAATTAACAATAGTTACTTCCATTCATATTTTAACTTGATATTTCCCAGTGAACTCGAAATAAAAGACATCGAAGAGTCTGTCGCATCTGTTTTATATTTGGATGTTACACTGACTATAGACTATACGAGCCTACTAACAACTAAACTGTATGACAAACGAGATGACTTCAGCTTTTCCATCGTCAACTTTCCTTATCTATGTAGTAATATTCCGCTATCACCTGCATATGGTGTTAACGTCTCCCAACTTATTCAATCCTCAAACGCAAGCTCTGAGTACGATCTGTTTTTAAACTGAAATATGCTACTGATAGATAAGTTGATACAGGGATTACAACAACCTCGTTTAAAGCATTCCGTAAATTCTATGGTCGTTATAATGACTTTGTATGTACACAACGTATTATTGGTTCGTATTTTTTGCTGACGTGTTTCATGCGATATACCCAATGTAAGTACATGTACTTTGTTTGTATAATAAATTCAACTACGGAATATTCCGTCTATCTGATAAGTACATAGGACTAACGTCAAATGTGGCAGGTCGACAAGGGATGCTTACTCAACCTAAGCATCTGATTCCACCTCTGGAAATTCCGGGGGTCCGTATTTTATGCCTTGTTCATAGATTTGTACTGTTTGTAAATGTTCTGAGATCGATCACTGTTTGTAATCTCCATCTTTTTCATCATATGCCAAGTCGTATCTTTATATTGTGCTTCCTTGAGAAGAAATCTGTTTTATAAGATAAATAGTCCTCATTGAAAATGACCAAAAGATGACGTTGTAGAACGTCACGGAGCAGCGACTAGCGACGCAGTTTTTGTTGCTTCCATGAAAACTCCAAAATAAACTCTAAATATTCTGGATGAGGGAGGAAATTTGTCAACAGTGAGCTGTGCATGTGTGTAAATGGCACAGGTGGGATTCGAGTTAAAAGGACTCTGTATCAGTGCAATATGTGGAGATAACGAACAGTATTCGAGCTCAAAAGTCCATTAAACATTACAAAATAGGAGCAGAGCAAACACGGACCTCAAAGACATCAGAGGTTGGATCAGGTGCCATGGAGGAGTGAGCATCCCCTACCGACCGGTCACACTCCTTGTCATGATCGGGAAATAATGGAGAAATCCGTCGACAATTCAGTGTGTTAATAATGGTCTAACAATTAGTATGACATTTGACTTGATGAAAGATTGTATTTGCTGACAAGGTCATTGTATCGACCATAGAACTTGCGAAATGATGACTTTAAACGAGATTGTTGATATTCTTGTTTCATCAACTTGTTTGTCAATAACTTACCTCGTTTTAGAAATTGTTCATACGTAGGTGGTAAGGCTATATTGCTGCATATGTAAGGGAAGTTGACGATTGAAAAGTTAGTCATCACGTTTATCATAAAGCTTTGTTGTTAGATTATAATCAACGTCTTTTTCTAATAAAATATCCAAATATCGAACAGATGTGTCAGACTCTGTGGTATCTTTTATCTCAAGATCACCGGGATATACGGTATCGTGTCGACATAAGAATGGAAATAACCATTGTTAATTGACAATACGTCGTTGATATATCTAAATGTCGAGTTGAAGGCCACAGCAAGTATTTTCTGCTTTTCACGTAAAAGATTTTGAACAAATTGTGCTTCATATGAATACAAAAATAGGTCTGCTAATAACGGGGCGCAATTGGTACCCATTGGAATTCCAATAGATTGTTGGAAGACCTGGTCTTCAAAAACATATAGATATTGTCAATCAGGAACTCGGGCATCTTTTTAATGTCAACTTCAGAGTGCTTGTGTGTACAATCAGATTTTTAACAAAGTAATTTTACAAATGAGCAATGACAAGGTAAATTTACGAGTTCCATTTTTATTGAAAAAGCACCTGTCAACGATGTCAGAAAGTCTGGAATTAAATTTATCGTGGGGAATAGTTGTGTATAAAGTTGAAAAGTTGTAAGTTTTTATGTTATTGATTGTGGTAAAATTTTGTGATTTCAAATGTTCCAAAAGTTCCTTGGAATTTTTTAGTATCCACATCTGATTTACATCACTTCTCGAATAAATAGTAGAAGTACTTTTTTCGCGTGGTATTAATTTACGCTAAATTTCCGCGGTCACAAAATTTCTGCGGAAATTTGTCCCATCGTACTTTATATACATGTAAGGTATATAGTGACAGTCTAAGAAATCCGCGTAATTTTCTACCCGCGGATTAAACAGAAAATGAGATTCCGCGGAATTATGACCCCGTGGAAAAAAAGTACGTCTACAGTATAGTTGCACAGTACTCTTGAAGTTTCCCCTTCACTACTGTAAATATCTTAGCGAGGAGAAAAGAAAGAGGCTTGGTAGAACATTTACTGGAACCCGCTATGTATCTTTGTAAGGATTTTTAGGAAGTTTCGGAATCCAATATAGATATGGTAATTCAAATTCATTTTGTTTGCTGGGAATATCAAAAATATTCAATACGGACATATGATTTTAAAGAATATCCTCCTTAGAAAGGGAGCTATGGGTATAAGGTGGATTACTACTTTTAGAATTAAATCCAAGTTCCTCTAAAATACAATTTATATAATGAGCCTTACAAACAAAGACAATGTTGTTACCTGCTTTATCAGCAGGGACTAGTACGTACTGATCGTGTAATCTATCTATTTTTTTTCACTTCTGAATTATTGAATACAGAAGGATAGATGGTTTTCATACTGCCCCTGAATCACTTAATGCGAAATTTTAAAATACATCTGATACATTTAATCCATTCTGACAAAGTGTCAAGGTCTTCTTTTTCATGTCTGACCCAACACCTGGGGTAATCCTCCACAGAATCCATAATATGTATGAAATTACGTTTTTTAAAGATGATACATCAAGTGCTAAAATAACTCCTATCCATCCCACATATTGACGACTTACTTTAAAAAAAAAAGATTATAATCTTCATGTACTTCATAAAAATTTGATTAAATTCTTCAAATCTTAAATTTATTTAACATTCCTCACTGTTATTCTTACAAGCTTCAAATTTCAAATTTCTTCATATACGAGGGGTGATCAAAAAGTTCGTGAACTATCTTTATATTTACAAAACCACAATTCAGATCAGATTGAAATTTGGCACACATATAGTCATACACGTTTTTTACATAGCAGATGCTATGTAATGTTTTACTCCATGTTTGTGGCGTCACATTGTGAAAATGACGTCAATGTGTAGGTGACTTGTGACAAATAATGTTTGACTCGGTCCTACTCGAACAACGAACGGCTGTAAAGTTTAACGTATATATTCCTTTGCAGTAGCATACAATAATTTGTACAAGGTTTATGAAGACAAAAGACTTGCCAGAAGTTCTATCATTAATTGGAATGATTGTTTTAGTGAAGGAAGGGAGATGATTAAAAATGATGTTTGTTCTGTTGCCCTGTGAAAGCAAGCTGGGGAAGTGTGTCCTTAGTTCAGCAATTCGTTATGTTTAGACTTTAAACATATCAGATATGATAAAAAAGGTGCCCATACTTTATCCACTTTGGATAAACGACGCTCCCAAGACAGAGAACTCGGGTTGTGAGGGTCACCATGCTCATTCTGGGAAAGGATATCCTTATCCACCCATCCCATTGCCGAGATTTGGTCATTTCTGACAAATGGACTGTTATTGTTATAAAAAAATAACTTGCATAATAAGAAATATAAGACTCGGAAAAATCTTTTAGCTTATGTGAACAGAAGGCTACGGAGCATGTCACGTGACCGCCTGGATCACGTGATTCGCGCTTGGGCAGAACGGTGGCAGATGTCGGAGAGGACTACTTTCAAAAATAATGAACACTGAAACCTAATTTTATTTCTTTAATGGAAGTTATTCAATTAGTTCGCGAACTTTTTGATCACCCCTCGAACTATGCTCACGGCTGCTTACAAAGTAAACATACCAAGTATTTACATTTTATTATATAAGTTTATACTGGTTTGCCTAATCGAAATAAAAAATGAACACATAGGATTTTTGTCCTGTAAATGAAAATGCCAATCAAAAACTGAACTCAAATACTTTCTGGCAGAACAATTAGCAGCTATCGATATAACAATATATATATATAAGAAGAGTATTTCTGACACTGAATTAATATGTCATCAAATGTTTAGAAGGTTTAATCTGTGGTATTCATTTTGTCCAATAACTCGGGGTCCAAGTCGTCCAGATAATTGTACAAGAAATCATCTGCAAAATGGAGAATCTGCTGCATGGCCAACAGTGTTAGAATATTCACATTGGTGTCAAGATCTCGTTCACTCTCGTAGTTCTTGACAGGAATCACGTGAGATCTCGGTAGACCAATCATCATCGCCACCCTATCCACGTACTCTTGAATTGCAGGGACGAAATACGTCAATCCGACGTCATGCTGCAGTGGTTCACATACTTTGTCAATCTTTGTGAGTAATACAACCTGAGGGATACCTTTAAAGTAACAAATCAAAACAATTATACACAGGTAAAAATAAAACATACCTGTATGTTTACTATATAAAACGAGGAATGTATGTTTAATGATGTAACTTTTAACAGTATGATTACCATATGTTTCATGCTTTCATTCTTCAAACGTTTGGGACATATGTTAAACGTGTGTTAAGGTGAAATATCCCTCTGCTCCAAATTTTACCCTTTTTTTTAAATTCCCAACATTGATTTTCATCAACAACAGTATCATTACATTCAAATGGAAAATAGTTTGAAGTATGAAGCGTTGCTTACTTTTTCAGAAATGAATATTATGTCTAATCATGGTACGAAGAAAATTTGATATGGTGAATAGAAAGATCAATAATTTTTTATCTCACCATAAAATTAAAAAAATATGAGGTATATATGAAAACAATATTTACTATCATACCTATCTATTTCACATTAGAAAACATAATGAAGCGTTGCTTTTTAAATCAGATTATTATACCTATACTGATATTTTCCCTATATAACATTAGATCGTTATATGTGACTAATTCCCTAGAAATCGTTATGAATGGACTAATCCCCGTGCGTTAGTCAAGTGAGCTAATCCCTGCATCAAAAGCTAATTCCCGGTTATCCGTAATCCTCTAGATTTTACTTTTACATTGTATGATATGTGAATGGACTATTCCCCGTGTATTAGTTAAGTGAGCTAATCCCTACTATGAAATTACGCTATCTGAATCCTCTAAATTTTACATTTGTATCGGTATAATAAAACAGTTAAAGGTATATAGCATTGCGGCTTCGCCTCGGGAAATAGTCCTGGCCTTGGGGAACTGTAATCTTGCTAACTCCCTCAATGATATACTTTAACTGTATAATATCACATTGTTTTCTGTGCTTGTAAAATAAAAATGCATCCATCTACAGGAGTTATCGTTATTCAAAATATTTTTTCAGCAAAAAAAAAAAAAAAAAAAAATAATTGATTATAAAAATTCTGCATCTGAAATTTCGGTAACATTAAAAGAATTTTATGTTAAGAGATAGAAATATCTCAATTTTAACAATTTAAAGGAACTGAATATAAATGTTTAGGTAAACTATTATAAGTAATTAATAAAATATTGGAAATACAAAATAGAAATCAATATTTGCAGCATAGTTCAGATTTGAATGATTGACTATATAATGGTCCTCATTATTAAACTCTGGTAAGACAATTCATTGAATTCCTTGGATTAATTTCCTTGGAAAGTTATATCTCTTCTCAGAGGGATATTACACCTTAAATATCACAAGTGCTAAACATAACTGTACTGAAACATTCATACATACGATATATTTGACGCATATATATTTATGAACTCTTGTTGCTTGTTATTATGCCACCCGACTGAAAAGCTGGGGTGATATATATTAGTGATAGGAATGTCCGTCTGTACGTCCGTAACACTGGTGGTTCCCTTCTCTTACCACAACTCCTCTTATACCAATGAAATTTAAGACTTTCACAGAATCTTTATTACATAATGCCATTGTGCATCTTCTTTACGTTTAGATCAGATAGATATTTGGAGTTTCCCATAGCAAAACCTGGATACTGCCATTCCTTCTATAATAATGGGGATACCCATCTCTTATCCACAACTCCTCCTATATCACTGAATGAAATAGGGAGAAAACAAACAGTGACCAAGCTTTAAAGACCATTGAAACAATACAAATCGGGAGCAGAGCAAACACGGGCACACAGAAAAATCCGTAGACAATTCTGTGAGTAAATAATGACCTAACAATTACCGTATAAGCAGAATTTTTAGCGAGGATTTAATTTTGGCATTGTTATCGAGGTGCTGAGATCGCTAAGATTGAATATCACTGAAAATTAATCGCGTTTTATTTGTATTAACTTCTTAAGTGAGCATTTTAAAATCGCTAAAATTACTTCTCGCTAAAAAAAAAAAACCCAATTCTTATGGACAAATCGGTAAATTTGTGTCTCGCTAAAATTTCCACTTATATGGTAGTATCAAAAACGTCAGTTAGCATTCGACTTAATAACAAATTGTATTTGCTGACAAGGTCATTGTATCGACCATAGAACTGTTGATATCCTTGTTTCATCAACTTGTTTGTCAATAGTTTGCCTCGTATTAGAAATTGTTTGAATGTAGAGCTTGCTCTTGCGTATCGAATTGACTTGGAGACATAAACTCCATATGCAGGTGATAAGGGTATTTTGCTTCATAAATGAGGAAAGTAGACGACAGAAAAGTTGAAGTCATCACGCTTACCATTAAGTTTTGTTGAAAGGTTACCATTAACGTTTTTTTCTAGTATAATATCCATTTATGAAACAGATGTGTCAGACTTTGTAGTCTTTTTTATTTCAAGGTCAAAGATATATCGAGTCGACGTATGAATGAGGTAATTAATGATAATTAATTAATGATATTTAATCATGCGTCGTCGATATATTTAAATGTCGAGTTGAAAGCCACAGGAATTGTTTTCTTTTCATTTGTAAGTTTTTGAATAAATTCTGCTTCATATAAATATAAAAATAGGTCTGCTAATAAAGGGGCGCAATTGGTATCCATGGGATTTTCGACTGATTAAAATTATATGAGACTTTCACAGAATCTTTATTACAAAGTGCCATTGTGCACCATCATATTTCTTTTTTCGATCAGACAAATATTTAAGGTTTCCCATAGGAAAACATGGACAATGCCATTCTATAATATTGAGGTACCTATCTCTTATCCGCAACTCTTCCTATACCACTGAATGACCCTTCACGGTAGCTCAGTCGGTAGAGCGCTCGCTCCGTAATCGAGAGGTCGTGAGTTCGAATCTCGGCCGCGACTGACCTAAGTCGATAAAAATGGGTAGCAACTGTTCCTTCGCCATGCGCTCGGCATGTCATTCTTCACCTTTAATTTATAGATCGATCAGATTTTTGGGTTTTCTCATAGCAAAAAACTTTGCTGTTATACTTACATGGGAGGGGGTATCTTTTTTTTTAGCTCATTGCTCACAGTACTTCTACTTAATGGTAAACATACGTTTGAAACATTTGTTGAAGATAAATCATATATGCTGATCGTTTTATTGGTAAAATAAACTCTTAAAACTTACGTTGAAAGTATTTTGCAAGTTCTCACAAGCATCAATGCACGTATTTCAAAATGAAGTAGAATGTGTTACATATGATAATGTTTGAAAGTCATCTTCTCTAATTCAGTCCATTCACTGCATATTAAATCATGTTTGAGTCAGAGAACTAATGCTTATTATAGTTTTACAAATAAACACAAAACGATTTCTATAACTGATTCTAGGTAATAAAAATCAAAACAACTATTTTTTTTTTATACCTCTTTGATTCATGGGTGTTTGAAGTTTTCTAATTTTTTCTAGTATTTTCTCCGACATGACATCTACTGTGGAAGCATCAATCACAAACGCCACACAGTGGATCTGATCCTTCAGCTTTGGGGCCTTGATGAATCCAGGGGTGTCTGGGGTCAGCGGAACTGAGGGGTTGAACTACAATATCATAAATCTGATACTTGAAACGTTGACGTACTGCATCTTTAAACAAAATATCGATGATTCTTAAAACATTTCACTGTTACTTTAAAAAAAATCATACATACAACGTATTTATCTGGCACGTGACCGTCCAATAGGTAACACATCTCCTGCGTTTCAATCCCTTGTCCTTCCTCTAGACCACGTGAGTCGCATAACCGGAAGTTGAGAGGTTTACCAGAGGGACCATTTCTTACCTGATAAGCTCGAAACTACAGTGTAAAAATAAATATTTAGATGTTCAAAATAATAATATACTGAAAGGAAAAAGAAACGCAGGGTAACATAATAAGCGAATTTTTTTAACTGCTTAGCCGAAAATTACGAAAACTGGTCAGATGAGTATCTTTTTTACTGTGCACTAAAATCGGTGTTCAGAATTACGCAAGCATTAAATGTATGACGTCATGTAGGGAAAGTGGTAAAAAGCCAAGAACACGTGCATATTGATGATGACAAATTTGTCAGCTCATCTTCTAATACCACTTGATGCACTGGATGCATACACATCGTTTTTCAATATTTATAGACAATGTGAATTTATTGTAATCATGGTATGCCTGACGGAGTTCCATGGGGTCTGCCTATTAGATAAAGGAGAGGCAACAACAGTTGGCGCCACGTCAAGAATGGGCTATTCATCTTACCACCAGTGTAACCGCCACCTCACCACCACTGAAACCTCTTTTACAGAAGGCAATCATAAGCATTACATTCACCCAAAAACTGAAAAAAAAAACGATTGCGCGATCGGTTTGTGAGCTCGTCAACTTTACTTCGGTGATCCTCTCACTCGCGCACACGTCCGTCGTATGTCTAATTTTTCAGCATGTTTACCTCCGGCCCAATGTAGCCAAAGTTTGTCAAAACTCTCTCGCAAACATTCACTTTAACCCACTCAACTGGCCTCCGTTAAGCCCATATTTTTCTCCAATCGAACATCTGTGAGACTGACTGTATGGTTGGGTTTGAAGGCGTCGGAAAACCCAATCTATTCTTCAACAGCTAAGGGCTGCCCTGTCGGAAGGGTTGAATATTATTCCTATGAGAAAGATAATTGCACTGATGAACTCCATTCAGAGGAGAATCAATGCTGTGACAAATGCACGAGAGAGGCATAGGATATTTCGATTTTCATTTTTTGGGGGTGGGGTGGGAGGAGGGGGGTCTTACTGTCATATGAGTTTTCATAACTTATAAATCATCAGTCAAAATCAAATGAAATTTTGGTTTCTTGTTGATTAAAGATGAGTTTAAATGTTAGATAACAATCCTGGAAAATACGTTCGAAAAAGGAACATTAAATCCCTTCAAGAGTTTACCCTGTATTCTTTTTCCTTTCAGTATATATTATTCATTATAACTGCATCTTAATCATCTTCTATATCAATTTTCAACTGCTTTCCATAAGAGAAACACATTTCGACTGAAAATAAACTTCCTGAATTAATTAAAATTATACTACTTTTCACTGCAATTCAAATTATTTTGCAATTTAAATCTTTTATATCAATTTTCAACTGCTTTCCATAAGAGAAACACATTTCGACTGAAAATAAACTTCCTGAATTAATTAAAATTATACTACTTTTCACTGCAATTCAAATTATTTTGCAATTTAAATCTGTAGAACTAATGGACACTAAATCATAATAAAAAACTCTAAATTTTTGAAACGCACGAACAACATCCAAAATTTTTTTTTGGTGTGCAAGGTTTGGGTTTGGGCCATGAATATCGGCTTGGATAGCTCGGTGGTTAGAACATCTGACTAGTGATACAAGGGTACCGAGTTCGATTCCCTATCCAGCCATACATTTTCTCCTTTCCTGTTACAGATGCAAATCGTATTTTTTAATACATGTGTGTGAAAATAGTACGTGGCAAAATATCCCCAATTTCAGCCAAATTGAACAAAAAATGTTTGAGTTTGACCCGAACTTATTTCAGTCGTATCTTGCAACTGAAAGGCACTTGTCTTACCTGTGTTGTGAGACTGTGGTCAGCCGTTCCGCTACACGCCTGACTGGTCACGTAACCGCGGAAGATGGAGTTCACTGTATTAAAGAAACTGGACTTTCCGGCCCCAATCTGACCAATCAGCATGATCTTTGTCTGACGGAACTTCAGTTGTTCTAGTGGTCTATAGTTCTCTATTTCTTCCTTTAGTTCCTCCATTACCTACACAGTTTGGAGATAGAAGTACAGTATCAGGTATTTATTACTTTTTTCGCCCAACTACATTAAGTAAAAAAAAAACCAAGCATTCTGAGAGTATTGCATTAGCAATACTAGTCACCTACCGGCAAGTGTAATCTGGTTCCCCTTAAAAATTGAAAATGCCATAATTCCGTCGAAAATCAATGAAGCGGAACGAAATGCGAACTTGATCTATAACTCATCAAGGTAAAGTCACATGCCAAAAATCAGCTCATTCACAATATCTTCAAGCATTTAGAAAAAAATTGCGGAAAACCCTGAAAAATTGAAAAGTTCGTAATTCCGTCAAAAATCATTGAAGCGGAACGAAATTCAAACTTGATCTGTACATAACTCATCAAGATACACTCGTATACCAAAAATCAGCTCAATATCTGCAAGCGTTTAGAAAACAGACAGAGGGACAGACAGACAGAAGGACAGCTAGACGGACGGACAGACTAAGAGGAAACCTATAGTCCCCTACGGTTTCACCGGTAGGAGACTTAAAAGGAGATTCTCATACGTAGTTTCATCCTCTTGTCTGTAAGTCGGGTCTAAACACTGAACTTTTTCAAAAAACAGCTACAGTCCAATGACTAAAACGTGATGTTTCTTTAACGTATTCTTTCTCCTTTGACAGTCCTTGCATGCTTCATCATATGGTAAGCAATGTGATACTTTAAAAAGATACTTTTAATTGTGACGTCATATCATATTTTCAACTTCCTTTTAAAAATAAATTCTTTAACTTTCGTATGTTTAAATCATGAAAGATGTTTGGTATAAATGAGGGTCTGATGTCTCAAACACGCATTGCCTGATGAAGTAATATAAGCCGCATTAAGGAGAAAATACTAAGACATTTTCTTAACAATTCGTTCTTCTCCGTGATAAACAAGCATTCTGAGAGTATTGCATTAGCAATACTAGTCCCCTACCGGCAAGTGTAATCTGGTTCCCGTTAAAAATTGAAAATGCCATAATTCCGTCAAAAATCGATGAAGCGGAACGAAATGCGAACTTGTTCTATAACTCATCAAGGTAAAGTCACATACTAAAAATTAGATAGAACGTTCTATCGTTAAAATGATATTGTCCTACGGACCCGGTTTAACGATAGAATTCGTTCCGTGTATTGGCAATGTTGCAAAATGAACACGGGCGATAACTCGTACTCTGTGCATTTTCTATGAACAATCCAGAGAGTTCCGAATGTCAACATGGCGTTAAATTTGAAGCGAGGAAAAAACGTTGAGAAAATGAATTGAATTTTCGCATTTATATGGATTATTTTTTTAGTTTAAAAGGCATATGCAATCTCAAAAAGGTTTGTTATGATTAATTTGGTAGTTATTTTCAGTGCAACTCCTTTTGTATTCTTCAAAATCATTTCGGAGTGGATCCACTCCGATTTGCTACATTGCAAGTATATGGGACGTATTCTAACTGTGGTGAGGGCTTGTCCCGAGACACAGTTAGATTATTCTAACTAACTAAAAATCAGCTCAATATCTGCAAGTGTTTAGAAAAAAATTGCAGAAAACCCTGAAAACTTGAAAAGGTCGTAATTCCGTCAAAAATCATTGAAGCGGGACGAAATGCAAACTTGATCTGTAACTCATCGAGATGCACTCACATTCCAAAAATCAGCTCAATATCTGCAAGCGTCTAGAAAAAGAAGTGCGGAAAACCATGCAAGTGGGACAGCTGACAGACAGAGGGACAGCTGGACAGACGGACAGACAGACGGGTGCACCAGAGTTCTTACTTACTCCTCTAACAATACACTATATACAAAATGATGTCCGTAAACTATATTTAGATTTCACTCGCATAGTAGGTGTCGTACATTAAATTAAAAGTCTACTTTCATTTTCTATAAACAGCCATGAAATAGCTATGAGAACGGTGGCGTTTCCAGTTGGTGGATCTAAGTTACTGGCAATTTTTAATGAAACTGACAACAAGCAATTGTTTATTTATTACATAAAACGTCATCACTGAATTATTCAATCAAAACTTGATATAAATGATATAAAAGAAATAAGTTGTGATGACTGATTAAAAAGGGAAATGTGCAAAATATTTTCGTCATTCACCGATCTTTGACGGAACCTTCTAGAACATCATATAGCATCGAGCCCGATGTTAAGAAAAAATAGCTACATGACCATAAAAAAAGCTTTTGTGTAAATGGTCATAATTGAAATAATGGTAAATCACTGATAACACTATAAGTTATGAATATAATTATATATCGAAAGACTATTACATATACATGTATGTAGTAGGTTTTCCTAATAAATTTATCGGTAAAATTTGTATATATTCCTTACTGAGAGCATCGTGGCAACGAACCCGAAGTACAATTTGTACTTCGTAATAAACTTGCTTACATGAAAAGAGAAAATTAATGAATAAGGTATTGTTCAAATACAATTAAAGATGTAAAATTTTGCGCTTTAATCAATGCACAGTTAATTTCTGAATACAATCTTTTATAGCTGCAATAATGTAGCCCTCTCCTTTTTTGAGAGGGGGAGGGGGGCAGAGAGAGAGGCCAGAAAATATCAGATCCAAAAAAAAAAAAAATAAATAAATAAATAAAAAAAATTAAAAAAAAATAAATCGGAGAGGGCTACATTATTGCAGCTTAGTCTTTTGTATCAAATACTCAACCTATTCATAGGGCGTTAAGGTCAGACGACACGTTCCTCAATAATATATAATTTTTCCTAATAATTTGTCATTGAAGTATTTCTATTTTAACAAGTTTCTTCGCAAAAAATTGAGGTACCTTACCAGGCATTTGAGGAAGGTAACGGAGGATGGTGTTTCCTATATAATCCTTTTGAAAAAGACTTGAATTGCTTATATCACAATTTTTTAGTCTTTATTTTTAAAAGATATTTTAAAAACAGTTTAGAAATAGCAAGATAACAATAATTATAAGTATTTTTGGTAAATTACAAAGAGACAAAAAAGTAAATATTTGAGGAATGTGTCGTCTGACCTTAAAAGCTAATTTTTACACAGGTACTTGGTTCTTGGTTTATAAATACATGTATATAAGTATCTTATTGATAGGTAAAAAAGTAAAGTACATTTTTACATATCAATAAGGTACAAACATATTTATAAACCAAGACCCAAGTACCTGTGAATTTTTAACCCCCCCCCCCGGCCCCAATCAATTTGTTAGTAAAATGTGCATATTCGTTGCTTTTATCCTTGACGGAAATGAAATAAGAGCATCTGAAGTACAATATCCATAACATAGTATAACAGGTTTCACAATAAACGCCAATTAATGAAATTGCTATTTTTCATGTTTAAAAAAAATAAATAAATAAATAAATAAAACAAACAAACACAAAAAAACCGGGGGGGGGGTGGATAGGTAAATCTACTTCATGCGGGATTTTGAACAAAGTATTTATTCCTGCTATAAGCCTGTAGGCTGTCAGTAGAGAACTACAATATATTTTCTGTCAGTAGTGGTATAAATTCAATTCCCCGCGCTTGAGCGGGATTTCATCTAGTTGAATATACATTTAAAGAGAAACTGTATAATCTGGACATAGGAATGGCGGTGATAGTTAAGCAATCTTAACATTGTATTTACCCTTGTTGTCCATTCCGGAGTTTTTCTCCAAGGAACATCTAACGGATCATTCATGTCACATTCTGAAATTTTTTTTGAAATATAAACAAATTATGATAACACACCTGTATTTTGCTACATTGCAAATACACATTATAGTAAAACTAAGTAAGTAGAACTCTGGTATTTTCGAGATAGAATATTCTATTTCAAGTTATACAAGTAGGAGTGCTCACCATCGATCTGATAAACTTCCAGATCTTTCACTTGTAAGTTTCCATTCGCAAAGGAGTTGAAGTCAGTTCCTTTCATATCGTAAGTATTGCCCAGATTGCAGCTTCCATTCAAAGCAAAAATACCGTTACTTGCATTAAGTGTGCCACTGAATGCGAAAAGATCATGTCCTGCTCCAAAGGTCGGGCCATAACCTGAGTTACAGTGTATTGCGTGTACGTGTTTCTCAGGTTTGATGGAGAACTGTTTTGGCGACCATTTCCCATTGAACTTTAGCTGGAAAAGAAACGCCTTTGGGTCAGAGACGTACGCCCCTCCTGCACTGGTCCAGTTTTGAGATGTAAAGCCCCCGTACACGGTATCATTGTTGTTATAAAGGACAGTCAGTGTCATTCCCTTGTTGTCACACTTAGAATGGAATGTTGAAGCTGAGCATCCATCTCTGGTGATCTTATATAGCAGTCGGAATTTTCTACGACCTCCAATCCATTTCAGGAGTTCATCCATTTCTTCTCTTTGCAGAATACTGGCCATATTCTATGAGGTGCTGTTGTTTTATTTTTCTTTTTAGATATTTTCTGACATAAAAATAAATCTTAATATCAATGATTCGAACTCTTAATATCAATATATAATGTTTGATACAAAAAGTTATTCTTCATATTGAAATAAAAATGACAATTTGATATCAAAAATCATTTTCTGATATCAAAAATAAATTCAATTTTCTGATATCAGAAAATGATTTTTCGATATCAACAAATCATTTTTAGCTCACCTGAGCTGAAAGCTCAAGTGAGCTTTTCTGATCACATTTTGTCTGTAGTCCGTCTAGCTGTCTGTCCGTCTGTAAACTTTTCACATTTTCGACTTCTTCTCCAGAACCACTGGGCCAATTTCAACCAAACTTGCCACAAAGCATCCTTGGGTAAAGGGGGTTCAAGTTTGTTCAAATGAAGGGCCACGCCCTCTATCAAGGGGAGATAATTAAGAATTAGTGAAAAATGAATAGCATCTTTTAAAAACCTTCTTTTCAAGAACCACAGGGCGAGGAAAGATGAAACTCATGTGGAAACATCCTCAGGTAGTGTAGATTCAAGTTTGTTCAAATCATGATCCCTGGGGGTAGGGTGGGGCCACAATGGGGGATCAAAGTTTTACATAGAAATATATAGGAAAAATCTTTAAAAATCTTCTTCTCAAGAACAGCAAAGCCCTGATTGGTCATATTTACATGGAAAACCTCAGGCAGTGAAGATTCAAGTTTGTTCCAATCATGACCCCTGGGGGTAGGGTGGGGCCACAATGGAGGATCAAAGTTTTACATAGAAAGATATAGTAAAAATCTTTAAAAATCTTCTTCTCAAGAACAGCAAAGCCATGATAAGTCATATTTATATGGAAGCATCCTCATGGTAGTGTAGTTTCAAGTTTGTTCAAATCATGACTCCCGATGGAAGGGCGGGGCCACAATGGAGGATCAAAGTTTGATATAGAAATATATAGGAAAAATATTCTTCTCAAGAACAACAAAGCCCTGATTGGTCATATTTATATGGAAGTCATATGATAAGTCATATTTATATGGAAGCATCCTCATGGTAGTGTAATTTCAAGTTTGTTCAAATCATGACTCCCGATGGAAGGGCGGGGCCACAATGGAGGATCAAAGTTTGATATAGAAATATATAGGAAAAATCTTCTTCTCAAGAACAGCAAAGCCTTGATTGGTCATATTTATATGGAAGCATCCTCAGGTAGTGTAGATTCAAGTTTATTCATGATCCCCGGGGGTAGGGTGGGGCCACAATGGAGGATCAAAGTTTTACATGGAAATATATAGGAAAAATTTTAAAAATCTTCTTTCAGGAACAGCAAAGATCTGATTGGTCATATTTATGTGGAAGCATCCTCAGGTGGTGTAGATTTTATTTTGTTCAAATCATGACTCCCCGGGGTAGGGTGGGGCCACAATGGAGGATCAAAGTCTTAAATAGAAATATATAGGAAAATATCTTCTGAAAAAGAACCGCAAAGCCATGATTAGTCATTTTGATACGAAAGCATCCTCAGGTAGTGTAGATGCAAATTTGTTAAAATCATGACCCCCGGGGATAGGGTCTGGCCACAATGGGGAATCGAAAATTTTACATAGGAACATATAGGAAAATATCTTCTTCTCAAGAACAGAAAAACATGTTTAGTCATTTTGATATGGAAGCATCCTCAGGTAGTGTAGAGTCAATTTTGTTCAAATGATTATCCCCGGGTATAGGGTGGAGCCACAATGGGGGATCGAAACTTTTACATAAGAACATATAGAAAAAAAATTTCTTCTCAAGAACAGAAAAGCTATGTTTAGTCATACTGATATGGAAGCATCCTCAGGTAATGTAGATTCAAGTTTGTTAAAATGATGACCCATGGAATAGGGAGGAGCCACAATGGGGATCAAATTTTTACAAAGGAATATGTGGGAATTTTTTTTTAAAAATCTTATCATGTACAACAAAGCCATTTGTTATATTGACATGGAAGCATCATCAGGTAGTTTAAAGTTCAAGACCCCCCCCCCCCCCCCAATCTTTTCAATACTGAACTGGTTTGTGCTTTTGCCTAGCCAATTGCTCAGGTGAGCAATGTGGCCCATGGGCCTCTTTTTTTTTAAATAAAAGCAATTAACAAAGATTTCTGATATAAAAAGTTAAAAGTTTGATATAAAAAAATATTTTCCGACATCAAAAAATGCTTTTGAAAATGTTAGTATCATAAAAACAACTCATCCTGGATGTTTCTACTAACCTTCCCACTGATTTGAGTAAATGGGGGTATAGACAGTTTAAAACCCTTTTGGGTTATGCAAAAAAGTAAATAAAATACGCAATTTTTTTGTCCTCACTGAAAGTGGGGGATATTAAATTGGGTCTGTCCGTCTGTCATTCTATCTATGTGTAACACTTTCGTTTCCGAACGCTATCTCAAAAAGCCTTTGAAATTTTATTTCACAACCTCCTATGGCCTTAAGAAGACCCCTACTGATTTTGAGGTCAATTAGTCAAAGGTCAAGGTAAAAAATTCACATATTGGGAAAGATGGTTTCCAGATGGTAACTGTAGTCTTCTTTGATGTTTTCAATGAAATTTTTATATCATAGTTCTCAGTGTTTTAAGAAAACACCCCTTTTAATTTTAAGATAAAAAATTCAAGAGCAGATGTTCATACTTCATAAAAATGATTTCCTGGTGATAAATTTAGTTTTCTTTGTTTTTTTTTAAACGAAATTTTATACCGTTAGTCAATATAACTTTAAAAATCGAATTGATTTTGAGATCAAAAGGTCAAAAACCAAAAATTCATGTATCGCATATATCTAGTTTTCAGATGATAACGTGTTTTTGTTAGTTTTTTGCAATGAAACGTAGGGTCATGAGTTTCTTTAACTTAAAAAAGATCCCTATTGACTAAGGCTAAAAGTTGAAAGGTCAAGGTTGACCTTTTATTTTTCCTTTATCCATCTGCATTTCTTTCAGGTCCTCCACGCTTTTCTTTTGTCCTTAAGCGGAATACACAAAGTCCCTGAATTAGCTTGTCTTACATGCAATCATTATGCTAACAAGGAACTAAAGTAATTTATTTCTATACAAGTTTTTAAAAGTACTAAAAAATCAATGTTGAGAGATTTGTGACCAACTTGAGGAAAACAATTCACGCTTATTGAATTCAGTAAGGTCAACTTTTCAAAACTTCAGTCAATATCTCTCCCCAAAACTGGAATCATCTCTTGTAAAAAAAAAATGAAGATTAACAACAAATCAGGTAACCCACATCCTTCTTACTGTAAGTAGAAATATAAAAAAATAAAACCCTAAAAACCCACAAGACAGCTACAAGTGAGCCTTATTTTTGTAACAATTAATGATGTTGGGCGAACTGTGAGAGAATTAATTATTTTTATGAAGCTAAACAGCAATATTTGTTAATTTTCTGATATTTAAATAAACATTTTTTTTTTAAATTAAAATCCAAATGAATTTCTTATATCACAAAATTATTCTCTGATATAATTAAAAATGATCAGTTTTAATATCTCAAAATCTCGTTTATTTTCTGATATTAAGAAATATTTTTTTAACAAATTCACAGAAAATAATGTGAAATCGAAAGTAATTTAGTTTCCTCGTTTTTGCACTTTACCCCTAGAGAAGAAAATCGGGTTTTTAATTTTTTTTTTTAAATTCAATTGATTTAATAAAAAAAAAAACAAAAAAAACAAAACAAATTCAACTCTTGATTAACACTTTTGTATTCAAATATTCAATATCTTTTCCAAATATTGAAAAATTTACTTCGTCTGTGATTTTGTTGAATAATGCTGTCGTCCGAATACGCAAGCAAATACTCGAACTCATCTTAAAATTTCATTTATAAGCACTTTTCATTAAAAAATATTCAAAACTGTAACAGATAATTGTCCTTCTTTACAATAATGCCAGTAGGTCAACATATGTATTGCTTACCTTGGTGTATAAATTTGTAAGTGCTAAAGTATGGTTACCCATAAATGTCATTAATATTATAAAAATGTAATAAATATGTTACTACTAGATACCATCTTTGAAGCTGTTTGAAACTGATGACATTAAACGAAGGATACACAACCAAACTCTTTAAAGGAGTAAATACTTAATTCATTCTGCCCACTAGCCAACTTGTTTCGTATGTGCGACACCCCTCCTGTTTTCTTTTCTACGTACCTCACCCCAAATCAAACTCGTATTTTATTTGTAATCAATCGTTCACATACATTATCTTGACATAGATCGCTTCAAGAATTTTCTTTTCTAACAATCATTCCAGATTTCCCTAACTACCCCTTTAATTTATTGTAAATGAGTTCAGTGAATGTGTGGTTTTACAGGTTTACAATAAAGGGGCTTAATAATAGACGTCTGTGGCATGATTGGCTAGTGGCAGAATAAATTAAGCATTTATTTCTGCCGTGTGATAGTTATTTTCTTTCTTGGCTTGATGCCAGGAGCGGGTATGCTACTGACTGAACGTCTTTTGGTTCGGCAAGTGTTTCATCCATACATTTTTGTATCACCTGTAGAGCAGAGCGGTACATAGGGATCACTTTAACCGGCGTCTGTCTATCTGTTACACCCTACATCTCGAGAATTGTAAGAGGTATAGATTTGATATTTTACACATATATTACTTGGCTCTATGGCTTTTGTAAATTACCATGGTTACCGACCTCGTGAGCCTTGACCTATTTTTCAAAATAATTCATAGTGTCGATATACAGCATATTTTTGAGATTTAAGAGGTAAGTCTATGCTATTTAGCATGTGCACTATTTGTCATAAGATAAGACATTATGAAAAATACCAGTATTACAATCCACCTGACTTTTGACCTACTTTGCAAGAAATACCCGGGTAGTTTAATATATGCCTTTTGAATTTTGAGAGGCAGGATTTTGATAATAAGCATTATACATGTGTATGAGCTCATGATAGTGTACTTTGAAACTG